AAAAATGAAGGTAAGAAAGAATGACATGGGTACCTAGTTTGAATATAGTGACATAAACTGACCAGGCCCTATTTATTCTCTTTGGAAATTACTCAAAAGCATCAAGGAGAGCTGTGTTCCTCTGTGTTTCAAAACCAAACTGTGAGGAAGGTGGTTTCTTCCAATAGTCACTACACCTCCTTTGTTGCTGTTGCCAAAAAAACAGTTATAGTTTTTTTTTCCACTTATGTGTATGCCTCTCACCTTTAGGAAGTAAATTTTACTTTTTTTTCTGATATATTTAGCCTCAGAGAAAGCAATACTAAACAAATGATCACATAGATAAGCCACTTTTGTGGAAAACAGCTGGTTTCCATGACAGCAAAGAAGAAAGCTTTTGAATTGTGAAAAGTCAGTTTTGAAATATTACCCTTGACCTTTCCCCAGAAATCCTCTAATTTTTCCAAGGAAAACCAACCTACTTCAGTGATAAGTAATAAAAAGAGAACCAGCACATTATATACACAAAAATACTATGAGAAAAAAGGCAGACACAGAAAAGTAAAATCTAATAAAAGATGGAGGACTCTCATTAGAAATAGTTGCCATAGTACAGGTGAAAACTGTGACTAAACATATACCATGACTTTTAAAAACTTAATAAAGCAAGGCCATAAAGTGGAAATGCAAAAATCAGGGAAGAGTTGATAAAATGTTAAATGACAGAACTCTGGAAATGAGCAGAATAGAAAAATAATATTTTAGAGTGAAAAAATGACAGAAATAGATCACAGATAAAGCAAATCCAACATATGCACAATTGGAATCCCTGAAGAAAACACTGAAATTATGTTCTGGGGGAGAAGAAGATTGTGTGTGGTAAATACAAAAATGCAAATTTACATCAAAATATAAGTCAAAAAAGTCCTGAATTAGAATATTTTAATGCATACACTAAACTATTACAGATTAAAAATTAAAGGCCACATTATGTTACAGGGAAATAGAACAGAATGATCATCACTGAGACATACCCTAGTAAAGTTACTTGACTTCAAAAATGAAAAAAATAATCATTTGGGCAGCCTGAACACACAAGTGAGGGAAAGAAAAATCAAGCTGTCCTTGAGTCTTCTGCACAACAGCACTCAGTAGCAAAACACAGTGAAGCCTTACTTATAAGATCAGGTGGAGAGAAAATACAAATCAGATTCTATATTCAGCCAGAAGTTCATTCAAGTAAAAAGGAAGCAGATCAACGGTTAAGAACAGAGTATATTCTCAGGGATTATTATTTCCATAAGATTTTCTTCAGAAAACTAGCACAAAAGGACATGTTTTGGCCAACCTGTAGATGACTAGAAACACAAAGGCACAAATGGGTGTAGAATATATTTAACATAGAACTAAAACTAAAATATTTGCAGAGTGACAGAAAAGAAAGCACATATTTTGTGCTCCAACAATGTAGAAATTACATAACTATTAAAAACTGAAAATGTGGAGGAAAAAGTTATAACGAAGAACAGGTAAGCTGATAACTTCAGTTACAATAGCTGATCAAAGGATAAAATGTACACCTGATAGAAAGATTAAAATCTTTAATAATGCAAATATAAACATTGAGAAAGATAACACAGTTAAAATTGGATGATTGAAGAAAAAATAGAGGATAAGAGAGAGATGAAGAAGTGCCCTAATTTCATTATTTTTCATTGTAAAAAGTAATAGATCCTGGATTTTAAAACAATAGGGGACTAAGGGGACTATAAAAAGTTATCAAGGTAACTAATAGAAGGAAATAATATAAACCTTCCTAAATGTCAAAAGATACACAGGTTCAGATAAAAAATAAACTCAGTGAATAATCTTTTAAAATCTTTAAACATGAAAAATGAAATAAA